CAGCAGGAGACTGACAGCCTGATCCCACAGAGAGCTTGGAGTATGAATTACACTGTAAAACCTACTCCGCTTGGAAGCAACTGGGCTGGACTTTTAAACCCCATGTCAGCTGTCATTGGCTGAGGGGGGGTGGGGGTGGCGGGCCTAACCTTCTAGGCCAGGTGTCTACTGTTTGAGGACAATTCCCTGGAGAAGTGGAGCCCCTGAAGAGGGAGTCTGGGGGTATTAGCGGCCATCACTCACAGCAGCGGCCTTGTGTAGGGTATTTCAGTGGGGCACTAACAGCGTCTACTATTCTTGTTGTGATTCTGTATCAGACGACCCTTTCAGGACTCAAAACTCATGCTGTGAAATGGGAATCTCTTGCAAACTCTGACCCACACGACTAGGGTTCAACAGTTGAGAGTTAAAACTGACATAAGAAACGCCAGGCTCCTCCCGGCCCACTCACCAGGGCCCGCAAGGATTCCGTTTCAGCCTGGAGGCTCTGGACCTGGCATGAAGTGTTGTGCAGCTCCAGCCTGAGGGCAGCGGCCAGCTTCTCTTCCTGGGTCTGCGCCATGCGGGCCATTTCTGCCTGTTGCTGTGGAGGGTCAGGTGTCCGCGTGAGCAGGGGTGCATGGAGAGCCCGAACCTCACTTAGAAAATATCTTAGAAAATATTTTCTACCAGTATATATAGATCAATTACATTCTTTTATTAAAAATTTTTTTTTGGGGGGGGTGTTTATTTTTGAGAGAGAGGGAGAGAGTGTGAGTGGGGAAGGGGCAGAGAGAGACGGAGGCACAGAATCTGAAGCAGGCTTCAGGCTCTGAGCTGTCAGCAGGGGCTGTCATGCGGGGCTGGAACTCATGAACTTTGAGATCACGACCTAGGCAGAGGTCAGAGGCTTAACCGCCTGAGCCACCAGGCACCCCTCAATTACATTCTTTTAAACGGCCCCATAGTATTGCCTTGTTTGGAAGCACCTTAATTATTTAGAAGCCCTTGCACCGATGAGCACTTTGTGGCCAGTCTTTGCCTGTTATAAACAACGGTGTGAAGAATGGCTTTATAACCCTCGTTTTCCACATGGGCGTATCTCCGAGGGGGTAAATCCTTGCACTGGAACTGCTGAGTCAAAGGGCATGCATTTATCATTTTGAGTAACGTTGCCAAATTGCCCTTCAGAGAACTTCTAACTCTGTCCAGTACTGTAAGCCAGTGCCAACTATCCCCACATCTGCTTCAGACAAGGAGCACTCCAACTTCTCTGACAGCCCCTGTTTCCTCATAAAAAGCAGTCTGGCCACAATTGTGAACACAGGGGGAAGGTCTGTGTTTCAAAATTTCTCCCTGAGCGAGATGGACATAGTCTGGTTCTTCCCCATACTTTCAGTGGAGTAGGTCATCGCTCCCCTTTTCTTTGTGCTGGAGAACAGGGAAAACTAGAGGTCACCTTCATTCATCTGAGAGTAGTCGAAGGGTTATCTCTGAGCCAGTGATATGGGAGAAAACACCTGTTTTCTCTCCTAGGTTACTGGCTGGCTGGGTTGGCCATTTTTACTACATCTGAATACTTATTTATAGGGTTATGCAAAAATAGCCAATCTAACTGACTAACTAAGAACACCCAGGTCAGAGGGCTCATATCTCAGGAGTAGTTCTTTCTGTGTGAGGGCTATAAAGACCTCAACAAAAACACCCATTAAAGAAAGGTCTGGGTGGGGCGCCTGGGTGGCTCAGTCGGTTAAGCGTCTGACTTCACCTCAGGTCGTGATCTCGCGGTCTGTGGGTTCAAGCCCCATGTCGGGCTCTGTGCTGACAGCTCAGAGCCTGGAGCCTGCTTCAGGTTCTGTCTCCCTCTCTCTGACCCTCCCCCGTTCATGCTCTGTCTCTGTCTCAAAAATAAATAAAGGTTAAAAAAAAAAATTAAAAAAAAAAAGAAAGTTCTGGGATTGGGAGCCTGAGTGGCTCTGTTGCCTCCAGATTTCAGCACAGGTCATGATCTCACGGATTGTGGGTTTGAGCCCTGCGTTTGGCTCTGTGCTGATGGCATGGAGCTTGCTTGGAATTCTCTCTCTCCCTCTCTCTCGCTGCCCTTCCCCTGCTCATGTTCTCTCTCTCAAAATAAATAAATAAACATTAAAAAAAAAAATTCTGGGATCGGCTGAAGGACAATGGAAGCTGTGGGCCCAGCTCTGACTGGTCAGTGCATGGCTGTGTGTCCCTGGACTGTCATTCAGCCTCTCTGAGCCCCGTCCCTGCCCACAGAATGCAGATGACAGTGAGTGGAGAATGATAATCATATGACTATCTCTAGGGGTCACTCTGAGGCTTCCATCAGGTTATGCATGTGGAAACTTTTAGAACCTTAAAAGCATGCAAATAGTGACAGCATATATTCTCTATATATGTAAAGAGTACTATTAGCCAATAAATGAGTTTGTAAAAGATATTGTGGGTTGGATACTACTAATGATAACTCATAGGCGTTAAGCACTTAACTGTGCCGAGCGCTTCATTAACAGGGTTAAGTCCATTATTTCACTTAATCTTCACGACCCTATGAAACAAGTGTCATTGGTATTCCTATTTTACATGAGGAACTGAGGCACTGAGAGACTCGGCTATTTACTCAAAATCGTATGTCCTAGGAGGGCAGAGCTGGGCTCCAGTGTAGAGACAGATGCCAGACCTGTGCTCTTAACCAGTACTGAGTGCTGCCGTTTCCACCAACCCATCAAGACTCCTGAAAGCAGAGTTGCCTTCACCCAAAGTGAAGGTGGACCACTCTAAAACATCTTTGTGATCTGCCAAGCCCTCCTGTGATGGGTTGCCCTATTTTTCTCTGTCTCTTTCCGGTTGGGACTTGACCGTGTAGGCCGTGTGGCTGGGTGGGCAGTGGGAGGGTGGTGCTCTGGCAGACAAATGGAGTCTGGAGGTGCAGGGGCACAGAGCGGCCAGGGGCAGCCGGGAGCTGGAGTCGGCCCCTGACCCCTCACAGGAGCTGAGTGTTAAATTCTCAGGATGTTTGTAAGCTGGTTGGTAAACACCGCCATCATTAAAAATTAAATTGCATCAACTTATACTTAAGTTTTATTAAAATGGTAACAAATACTCCAAACACATCACTTGCTAATTTATTTACATTTTATCATTATCTGTGCCATCCATGGTCTTTATATTGATGGTACCTGTGTGGTGGGAATAACATTTAATGGACTTCTGAGCATGTCTTTCAAACTCTGTGCTCATTTACATTAAGTTAGGAGTTTGAAATCAGCCATGAGAGTATTTACCTCATGGAAATTGGTAAACACCACAAATCAGGGGTTGAATTATTGTTTTGCTGACTATCTAGACTTAAGGAAATGTTAATAATGCAGATTAAACTTTAAGTTGGGTCATGTCTGTAGCCGTTGCATTAAGAATAGCAAAAACAGGGGCGCCTGGGTGGCTCAGTCGGTTAAGCGTCGGACTTCGGCTCAGGTCATGATCTCACAGTTCATGAGTTTGAGCCCCGCTTCGGGCTCTGTGCTGACAGCTCAGAGCCTGGAGCCTGCTTCACATTCTGTGTCTCCCTCTCTCTCTGCCCCTTCCCTGCTCATGCTCTGTTTCTCTCTGTCTCAAAAATAAATAAACATTAAAAAAAAAAAAAA